ATGAGCTGAACAAACAATTCTATAATGAAGACATATGAATAGGCAAACATAATAGGAAAAAATGTTCAATATCCCTCATCCTAAGGGAGATGCTGATGAAAACTACAATGATTTACCACCTAACCCCAATCCGAATGAGTAAATTATTTTATTTTGTATTATTTTTATTGTTTTTTTTAAAAACCTTTGATCTCTATACATCATTAAGCTTCTAAAGAGAATCTACAAAATATGAAATACATCTTAGACTATTTCAGTTGAGAATACTATACACATTATCATCAATATGTAATACATAATTTTTGAGTTCCACAAATGTCTTGCTTCTCTATATTTTTCCCTCATCTTCTTCCTTATATTCTTTCCTTCTCCCACCATCCTTCCACACTGTCTACTGCATATGTCACTATTTTCACTTCTTTTATGCCCTATATTAAGTGGAGACATGTAATAAATTTCTTTCATAGCCTGATTTGCTTCACACAGCATTAAATCATCCATTTTTGACCACTTTTTATAAAATACCATGGTCTTGTTGTTTTTTCATGGCCAAACAGTTTTCCATAGAGTATATGTACCACACGTTTTCAATCCATTCCTCTGTTCATGGACATTTGGATTGGTTCTATGTCTTAGCAATTGTGAATAATGTTGCAATAAACATTGATGTGCAAGTGCTTTTATTACTGAGCATTCCCTTGTCCTTTGGGTAGATACTGAGAGTGGGATTACTTGATCATATGGTAATTCTATTTGTAGGTCTTTGAGTAACCTCCATATTGTTCTCTACACTGGCTGGATCAATTTACATTCCCACCAATAGTGTAGGAGAGTTCCCTTTCCACCACAATCCCACCAAAACTTTTCATTTCTTTTGTATTTTTAATCTTTTCCAGAATGACTAAGATTTAAAAATCAAAAAATGGTAAGTGCTGGCAGGCCTGTGGTAAAGGGGGAATTCTTCTATTCTGCTGGTGAATAGGTAAATTGGTTCAGCCACTCTGGAGAACTATATGGGAGTTCTTCAAATATCTACTTATAGAACTACCATATGATCCGACAGTTCTGGGTATCTGCCCAAATACAGGATGACACTCAGAAAAGTCCTTGCACGTCTATGTTTATTGAGGCATTATTCAAAACTGCTAAGACATGGAACCAACCCAAATGTTCATGAACAGAAGAATGGATTTTAAAAGTGTGTTTATACTCTATGGGATGCTACTCAGCCATTAAAAAACAACAAGACCCTGACTTTTTAATAGAAAATAGACAAATATGGGAAGATTTACTGCTGAGTGAAGCAAGACAGACTATGAGGAAAGACATTGCATGCTTCCATTTAATATGTGTCGCTATCTGTGCTCTATTGTGGAAACTGAAAGATTAGATCATGCATAAGCCTGGACAATGATTGTGGATACTGGATACAATGTGGGAAGAGAGTGGGAGAAGGGGTATAGTGTAACAAAAGAAATTAAGAAGAAAAATAGAGAGGCAAGATTTTTTTGGGACACAGAAATGGATTAATATCTGTTGATGATAATGTGTATAGGATCCTCAACTGGACTGGTGTGAAGTGCCTTCATGTTGTGAAAATTCACTTTACAAGCTAAGTGATGTATAGTAATTGAATGTATGAAAGAAATAGAACAAAATAAAAGACATATTAAAAAATATAAAGTATTTGCACAGCATGCAGCACTGGCAGACAGCCAACATCTTTCCGTGTCTTTACATGTATTCTCTCTGTGCATGTCTGTGTCTTCACTATCTTTTACTAGAGGACATGGTCACATTGAATCATGATTCACCCAATGACTTCAATATCTAAGTAAGAGGAATCTTCAAAAAGTTCACAGAAAATGCATACTGAAAGAAACTATGTATGGATTTGAAATTTGTTTTCACCAAAATAAATTTGTACTTTAACTGAAAAAATCAAGAAAGGAATGGCCTATGGGATAAATGGTTTATTATCTGTTTATGATAATGTGTATAGTATCCTCAACTCACCTGGTGTGAAATGTATTCCTTTTGGCAAAATTCACTTTATAAGAGAAGAGATGTATAGTGATTGAATGTTTAAACTAACTAACTAACTAACTAAATAAATAAATAAAAGGAATGGCCAAGGAAAGGCAAGAATTAGCAGACTTCTTGGTAGAAGAGTAGTATATGTAAGACAAAGTGGCATATTTTATTTAGTAGAAATAAGGGTTGCATACATCATATTTTAGGTGTATATGTGTGGGGGGTTCAGGTCTGGGTGACCACACTGAGATGGCACACATATTTCATGTGCACTGGTGGGATACACCTGACGTGAGCTCTACTGTATGGACCAGATACCCACGGCATCAGTAGTTAGTTCTCTTGTCTTCATTTAATTAACTACTTTCTTCTCTAGTGAGCATAGATCTATTCCCAGTAAATTTGAAATGTTCATCTGCAAGACTCGCAAGAGGACATGGATTCCACAACACCTCAAGTAGAATTCATTTTTAAATATTAATGGAAACTCAATATGGAAGTTAATACAAGTTGTTTTAAAGGAAAGGGCTTCCTTATTATGATCTAACCCTCTTTCAGAGGGCTTCAAACGTTGTTTGGCACCTGACCACATATATCTCATGGTGTCTCCATACCACAATGTCCAAGTCCACGCAGCCCCACTCTGGCCATGGCAGCCTTGTTCTGAGAGATATCTAAGTAGAGAAGAGCCCATAGGTGTTATGATTAATGATTAAGGAAAAGACAAGTGGGACAATTCAATGAATTTCTTCAGAATTTGCAAAAGAGAAATCTAGCCTGTTTCTGAAGAAATAACAATGAATATGTTGTATTTGGGGACTTGGGTTAGGAAGTCATGACTTGGGTGCTCTGCAGAGTAGTAGACAGAAGAAGGTAAAGAGGCATCCAGGAAGAAAAGAAGGGAGCAAAGAGGCCAAAAGAAATCACAGCCACATGGCCTCTGCAAGAAAGGGGCTGCTTCCTGAACTCCTGGCCATGTCTCCGTTGTTAATTTTATGCAATCCAGCTGCTCAGCCTTTTCATTCCTAATGTATATAACTTCACAGAACCTCCTATAATGCTCACCTTAAACTAAATGTACTTGAGAGTATGTCCATTTCTACCTCCAAATGACCCCCATTAAGATGACAACAATCAATTTAGTCAGGTGGGAAACAGGAGGAAGGAGGAATGTGACTTTCTGTCTCTGTTTCTTATTTTCTTTGAAGAACAGCTCTACATTTTCCTTGCCTATCACAGATGTAGTCAGGAAAGCCCAAGTAAATTCTTCTTTCCCTGGTTCCCAAGGTTAACAAAAACAAACAAACAAAAACAACGGCACCACCACCACCAACAAAAACAGAATTGTTCCAGATTGACAGAGGAAGTTAGAGGTCTTTGGCTCAAAAGCCAGAATTGATTTTCTGTAAATATTAGGAGCAGGACTGCTGAATATGAAAGGAGGCTCATTTTAAATAAATCAGTAGTTCTCACTAGAACATTTCAGGAAGAACTACGAGGACTTCACATTTTCCTTGCCTATCACAGATGTAGTCAGGAAAGCCCAAGTAAATTCTTCTTTCCCTGGTTCCCAAGGTTAACAAAAACAAACAAACAAAAACAACGGCACCACCACCACCAACAAAAACAGAATTGTTCCAGATTGACAGAGGAAGTTAGAGGTCTTTGGCTCAAAAGCCAGAATTGATTTTCTGTAAATATTAGGAGCAGGACTGCTGAATATGAAAGGAGGCTCATTTTAAATAAATCAGTAGTTCTCACTAGAACATTTCAGGAAGAACTACGAGGACTTCAGATACAAAAACAGGACACAGGGAAACAGAAGACAAGGTCAGAGGGAAGAATGCAGCAGAAAAATCAGTCACTAGAAGTAGCTTTGAGAACATCATGACAAAAAA